AGGGGGAAATTTTTTAAAACGGGGCGCAACAAATAAATTGGAAAATTTCAATAATGTAAAAACCACCGGTGTACGTGGTCCTTTTGTGTACACCTGTGTACTTTTGCGTTTTTCCCGAAAAACCCCAAGAAGAAAAGTTTAATTGGTTTTACAACGAAATTTAGGTTGTGTTTTTCACTGAGTTTAAGAAAAAACACCTTGTGTGTGGGGTGGGTGTGTTTCGTGTGTGTGTTGGGGGGTTGTGTGTGTGGGTGGGGTGTGTGTGTGGTGTGTTGTTTGTGTGTGTGTGTTGGTGTGATTTTGTGTGGTGTGGGGGTTTGTATGTTGTATGTGTGTGTACTCACCCAGTTTAGGTTGCCGGGGTTTGAGTCCAAGCTCCCGGGGCCCCCCCCCTTTCACTGGTCGCCTATAGGGTCACCCCTCCCTTAAAACCTGAGCTTTTATCATACCTCTGCTTAAAGAAGTAAAGGAACCTGGGCCTCCCCTACCCCCGCTTTCCCAAAATATTCCACTTCCTGACTACTCTGTTTTCTGAAGAAAAAACTTCCTAACCCCCCTTTGAATTTATTTTTTTCTTCGTTCCAAATGTTTCCCCGTGTTGGGTGTGTCCAGTCTCTGGAAAAATCCTGTCTTTTTTCAACCTTGGGCAATTCCTCCTTTATATTTTTGTAAGTTTGTTTTTCATGTCCCCCCCATCCTTCCCGTCCTCCCCGTGTGTCAGGTTTTTTCCCTTAAAACCCCCCCCTTGGACATACCTTTTTAACTCTGGGACCGTCCCCGTTGCCCAAAACCCTTTTCAATTTTCTAGTTTCTTTACTGCTTGGTAGGGGTGGGTTTTCCCAAAATGGTGCCGCATAATCCAATATGGGCCCAAAAGTACCCCGGTCGAAGGGTTCCCCGAACGAATTTCCTTTTTTAAGGTTTTCGGAATGCTTTTTCTGAGGTTTGCTAGGGGGGCCCCCTATGCTGGGAGGGAGTTATTTGGTTTTATTTCGCTTTAAAGGGGTGATGGGCCTTTTGGGTTTTATCCCCCAAATTCTTTTTTCCCCCGATTTTATGTTTGTTTGTTTTTTCTGGGCCCCAAAATTTTACTTTTTTACCGTCGCGGTCTTTTTTTCCCCCCCCAATCCTCCCGGGCTTTGGGGACTTGGGGGAAATTAACTCCCCGGGGGCCGTTGCGGACCAGGTCGTAGCCTAACCCGATCCCCCTTTTTAGTTCTGCCTGGGGCTTCGACGACCCGAACTCTTCTCATCCCAAATTCAAGTCATTCAAACGGGACACCTTGGGGGTTTTTTTCCTTCCCTCATGTCGTTCACAAATTTTCCAAAACGCCCCGGGTCCTAAAGGGCCCGACCCCTGTGGGGGCCCCGTGGTCACAGGTTTTCCCCTCTGACACCTGCCCTACCAAATTTCTCGCTGCTGGCTTCCCGGGCAAAATATTCCCTGATTCCCTTGCAGTGCCTTCCCTGTTATCCCTGCTTGGTCCTTTTATTTTTGGGGACTTTTTAATTTTTTTGTTTGGTACAGTCCCCAAAAAAAATGCAATCCACCCCCCCTCTCTCTCTTGTTTTCTGCTGTCAACCAAAGGGGTTTTTAGAAAAATTTTCCCGTTTGGTTGTGACACAAAGGGTTTTTTCCCCTCTCTGAAACCAGTTGGGTTTCTGGTGATTGGGGTAAACTTTTCCTTTCTTGATTTTTCCACCATTTTTTTAATTTTTGCCAAATTTTTTTCCAGATTTTGCCCCTGCTAATTTTCCAAAGTCATGACATGGGTTTTGGAGGGTTTAAATGGGTTTCCCTTCTGGTTTTCCCTTTTTTAAAAAGATTGGGGACCCAAAAATTTTTCAGTCCCTTTCCCTGCCCCAGGCAATCTCCTGTTTCGATAGATGGTTTTTGGGAAAATTGTTTTTAGGGGTTTCAAATTTTGGGTCCTCGTCCCTCTTTTTAAAACCCATGGGGAAATGTTTCTGGCCCCATTGGGGCCTTTTAGGTATCAAACTCACTCAGAGGCCTCCTTCACTTCTTCCTCGGTTGTGTGGGACTGTGTCTAGCACATGGGGGGTTTTGGGCCCCAAACCCCTCCCCTCTTTCTGGGTCCCTTTTTGTCTCCTCTGTTTAACAAATTTTTGAATCTCCCTTTTTGAGGGCCCTCACAAAACTTTTACGGCATTTCTTGTTGTCTCTCCCCCTTTCCCTTTTCCCCTTTGTCTGATTACCCCGGTCCCCTTTTTTGTTTTTTTTCCTCCTGATGTGGCTGTACAACATTTCGGGGCAGATTTTGGGGTTTCGCTGCTTTTCATTTTCAATTTGTTTTGGGCCCCCCTTCTTATCTGTGCAATTCGTTTCTGGCTCTACGACTGCTCTCCTTATTCTCCTGGGTCCTTTGCCTTCTATATTTCTTCCATTCCCTATCACACTTGGTTTTTGCCTTCTTGCATCTTTGGGTGAACCATGGGCTCATCCTGGCTTTTTCATTATTCCTGTTACCCTTGGGTACAAACCTCTCCTCAGCCTCCTTGCATTTTGTTGCTAAATATTCCATCATCTCATTAACTGGCTTCCCTGCCAGTTCTCTGTCCCACTGAACCCCGTTCAGGAAGTTCCTCATTCCTGTGTAGTCCCCTTTCTTGTAGTTTGGCTTCATTCGTCCTGGCCTTCCTGCTTCTCCCTCCACTTGTAGCTCTACTGTGTATTCGAAGCTTAAAACCACATGGTCACTGGCCCCAAGGGGTCTTTCATATGTGATGTCCTCGATATCTGCACTACTCAAGGTGAACACTAAGTCCAGCCTTGCTGGTTCATCCTCTCCTCTCTCTCTTGTAGTGTCCCTTACGTGTTGGTACATGAAGTTTTCCAGTACCACCTCCATCATCTTAGCCCTCCATGTATCTTGGCTCCCATGTGGCTCCAAGTTCTCCCAATCGATCTCCTTGTGGTTAGTCACCCATGATCAGGAGCTTTGCCCTGCATGCATGAGCTCTTCTGACCACTCTAGCCAGTGTGTCAACCATCGGTCTATTGCTCTCGTCGTACTCTTGCCTTGGCCTCCTGCTGTTCTGTGGTGGGTTATACATCACTGCTATTACCACCTTGGGACCTCCAGAGTGAAGCGTTCCCGCTATGTAATCACTTTCTTCTCCACTGTCTCCTCTCTCCAACTCATAAAAATTCCAGCGATTTTTGATCAGCAACGCCACTCCTCCACCCCCCCCCCCTGTTCCCTCTGTCTTTCCTCAGGATTTGGTATCCCGTTGGAAAGATGGCATCTGTTATCATACCTGTAAGCTTGGTTTCTGTGTGTGTGTGTATGTGTGTGTGTGTGTGTGTGTGTGTGTGTGTGTGTGTGTGTGTGTGTGTGTGTGTGTGTGTGTGTGTGTGTGTGTGTGTGTGTGTGAGAGTGTGTGTGTGTGTGTGTGTGTGTGTGTGTGTGTGTGTGTGTGTGTGTGTGTGTGTGTGTGTGTGTGTGTGTGTGTGTGTGTGTGTGTGTGTGTGTGTACTCGCCTATATGTGATTGCAGGGGTCGAGACTCAGCTCCTGGCCCCGTGTGTGTGTGTGTGTGTGTGCGTGTGTGTGTGTACTCACCTATATGTGGTTGCAGGGGTCGAGAAATAGCTCCTGGCCCCGCTTCTTCACTGGTCGATACTAATTCACTCTCTCCCTGCTCCATGAGCTTTATCATACCTCTTCTTAAAGCTATGCATGGAACTTGCTTCCACAAGTTCACTCTCCAGATTATTCCATTTCCTGACAACTCTAAGGCTAACGGAATACTTCCTAACATCCCAATGACTCATCTAGGTTTTCAGCTTCCAAATGTGTCCCCTTGTTCGTATATCCCATCTCTGAAACATTCGAGCACTGTCTACCTTGTCAATTCCTATCAGTATTTTATACGTTGTTATCATGTCCCCCCTAGCCCACCTATCCTCTAGTGTCATTAGATTGAGTTCCTTTAACCTCTCCTCATAAGACATACCCTTCAGTTCCGGGACTAATCGTGTTGCAAATTTTTGCACTTCCTCCAATTTCGTGACGTGTTTGACTAGGTTAGGGTTCCATCCTGGTGCTGCATACTCCAGTATAGGCCTGACGTACATGGTGTACAATGTCGTGAATGGCTCCTTACTTAGATGTCTAAACGCTAATCTCAGGTTTGCCAATTGCCCATATGATGCAGCAGTTATTTGATTCATGTGTGCCTCAGGGGACATGTTCGTGTATGTGTGTGTGTGTGTGTGTGTGTGTGTGTGTGTGTGTGTGTGTGTGTGTGTGTGTGTGTGTGTGTGTGTGTGTGTGTGTGTGTGTGTGCGTGTGTGTGTGTGTGTGTCTGTGTGTGTGTGAGTGTGGAGAATGTGACCTTGGTTATGTCCAAACAGACGCGTACACGCATGCAGACACACACACAAACACACACACACACATCAGCGAAGAGGCGGGGCCAGGAGCTATGAATCGACTCGTGCAACCACAAAAATCTGAGTACAGATAGGTGAGTACACAGGATAGGTAGACAGGAGAGTACATCAAGGTACTGGAGGACTGAGGTGTTACAGCACCTGAGGCTCGACCTCAGGTGCTGTAACACCTCAAACACAGGTGTTCCTGGAAAGTCTAAGACATAGGTTACCAGTGTTATTAAAGAGTGAGACAATGTAATCTGATGAGAAATGTCATCAGATTACATTGAGTGCAGAAATACTTGACAAATATGCGAAGAAAGGCGTAAAGATGTGTAAGAAATGTGTAAAAATATGTAAAAATGCGTAATATATGTATAAGAAATGCGTAAGAAATAAATAAAAAATGCGTAAGAAATATGTAAGAAATAAATAAGAAATGCGTAAGAAATACGTAAAAGTGTGTAAGAAATGCGCAAGGAATGTGAGAAACACAAAGGTATAAGAAATAAGTAAGCAATGTGAAAGTAATGCGTAGGAAATACGTAAGAAATGCATAGGAACTGCGTAAGATGAGCGTGAGAAATGCGTGTAAAGATTACCTTGCGGGTCTTGCTAGTGATGCGGGTGACGGGCGGAGCATTGTTGAAGATGGGCGGCTGGTCCTGGCGGTCCTCTACCAACACGGACACGCCCACGCACACGATGTTCCGCGTGTCGAACTCCTCATTTGTGTAGGGATTCTGAAGGAAAGAACGGCAAGACCTTAGTGCTGTGCTCAAAGAAAACGGGAAGACGTCAACGCTGTGCTCAAAGAAAACGGGAAGACGGCAACGCTGTGCTCAAAGAAAACGGGGAGACGTCAACGCTGTGCTCAAAGAAAACGGGAATACGTCAACGCTGTGCTCATGAAAACGGGAATACGTCAACGGTGTGCTCAAAGAAAACGGGAATACGTCAACGCGAAGACGGGAAGACCTAAACGCCGGAGTCAAAGAACATGGATGACGATGATTTCATTACACACACATACACATTTTTAATATATATACATATATGTATATATATATATATATATATATATATATATATATATATATATATATATATATATATATATATATATATATATATATATATATATATATATATATCGTGCCGAATATGTAAAACTGGTCAATTAGCAAGAACTTATTTAAAATTAAGTCCTTTGTAAAAATTTATCTTATACGTTTGAAGATATATTTTTTCATTGATGTTAATGTAAAAAAAATTAATTTTGCACCAAAAGAATCTTAGAAAACTTACCTAACCTTATTCTAACAAGCTCAATTTATTTTAGCCTAATCCTACTAAATATATTTTAAAAACGTTTACAGTAATTTAATACTAAACAAACACAATGAAATATATTTTTCTCGTTAGGTTTAGAATGATTTTGGCGAAATTATTGCATACACAAATTTTCGCTTGTCTTATATGGCAAGATGAGCGTTGCTATTTAAGCCAAGATGGCAAGTTCTGCCTATTCGGCACGACATATATATATATATATATATATAATATATATATATATATATATATATATATATATATATATATATATATATAATTTGGACAGATCCTAGAAGAAAGTAAACACACTTTCAGTATACGCCAAGTGCGTTAAAACAGTAGGAATTGCGTCAAACAATACTAATCAAAAAATAGTTTCGACTGCTGGTGTTTCTTTTTATACTGCCAAACAAACTACTACTGCCACGATTGAGCCTTGTGTGTGTACTCACCTAATTGTGGTTGCAGGGGTCGAGACTCAGCTCCTGGCCCCGTGTGTGTGTGTGTGTGTGTGTGTGTAAACCCAAACCCGAGTTATGTGTACTCCTGGCCCCTCCTAGACCTCTTTGATCTGCCTCATTAACTTCTGGCCTCTTGAGCCTTATCATATCTACTCTTGAAGCTGTGTGTGGAGCTTACCTCCACCAACACTGCCTCATCTAAGATATTTCACTTTTCAATCAACCTAAGATTAAACAAATACTTCCTTACGTATCTGTGGCTGACGTGTGTCTACAGCTTCCATCTGTGTCCCTGTGATCCTGGTCCTCGTAATTCAAATAGTCTGTCTCTATCTGTCCCATCAATTCCTGAAGCAACCGAACATCTCAGATTCGCTTCCTTTAACTTCTCATAGTATATTCCTCCAGTTCTGGTACTAAACTGGTTATAAACCATTGAAACTTGCTGAGTTTACTCATGTGCTTGACTAGATGTGGGCTCCATGCTGGCGCCGCGTACTCAATAATTATCCTAACATATGTCGTGTATCAGGTTTTGCGGGATTTTTTTAATTTACATTTATCAATGCTACTCTGAGGTCTCCAAACCTGGCATATAACACTGACGTTATACAGTTTACATGTATTTTTGACTATATGCTTAGTGTTATGTTCAACCCTAGATATTTGTACTTTCTCTACGCCCATAATGTACTCTCTTCCCGGTCTTCCCTCATCTCGATTTCGCCTAAAATCTTGCATTTGTTGGGATTGACCTCGAGAAGCCATGTGTTTGACCGCATCTGCGGTCACTGTAGGTCTGGCTCCGAACAGGGGCTCAATTAGCGCAGTATAATGACACAACATTAACCCTGAGAACAGTGTAGGAGAGACGTCACCTCTTGCAACTACCACTAACATCTGACGTACTTCCTTAGTCATAAATGACCTCAAATTTATATTTATATTCATGGCAGTTAATTGAAAGTTTCTGATGTTTCTCTCATCCAAATAAAAATAAATTATATATATTAACAGCTGTTGTTACACAGTTTGAGGAATAATCAAGAAACTCAACTTTTTTAGGCAAAAATATCACAAGTGGACTTAAATGTATTTAGTTACATCGTTAAATTTATATGAACAATGGTTATGAATGTTTATAGAGAGTTAACATGCACAAGTTACTGTTTATTTAGTAATTTTGGATGTATTAATGTTGAGTTGTTGCGGTGTTATTGATGAAGATGAAGAACTTCTCTGTTATGGCGAAGAACAGAAAATTAGAACAAACAATAGAACAGAAATAGTAACAAATTAAAACGAAGAATGCAAGAAGATGGGGTGTGGGGGTGAGGGGAATGTGGGGGTGAGGGGAATGTGGGGGTGAGGGGAATGTGGGGGTGAGGGGAATGTGGGGGTGAGGGGAATGTGGGGGTGAGGGAATGTGGTGGAGAGGGGAGTGTGGTGGCGAGGGGAGTGTGGTGGTGAGGGAATGTGGGGGTGAGGGGAGTGTGGTGGTGAGGGGAATGTGGGGTGAGAGGAATGTGGGGGTGAGGGGAATGTTGTGGTGAGGGGAGTGTGGTGGTGATGGGAGTGTGGTGGTGAGGGGAATGTGGGGGTGAGGGGAATGTGGGGGTGAGGGGAATGTGGGGGTGAGGGGAATGTGGGGTGAGGGGAATGTGGGGGTGAGGGGAATGTGGTGGTGAGGGGAATGTGGGGGTGAGGGGAATGTGGGGGTGAGGGGAATGTGGGGGTGAGGGGAATGTGGTGGTGAGGGGAGTGTGGTGGTGAGGGGAGTGTGGGGGTGAGAGGAATGTGGGTGTGAGGGGAATGTGGGTGTGAGGGGAATGTGGGGGTGAGGGGAATGTGGTGGTGAGGGGAATGTGGGGGTGAGGGGAATGTGGTGGTGAGGGGAATGTTGGGGTGAGGGGAATGTGTGGGTGAGGGGAATGTGGGGGTGAGGGAGATGTGGTGGTGAGGGGAGTGTGGGGGTGAGGGGAATGTGGGGGTGAGGGGAATGTGGTGGTGAGGGGTATGTTGGGGTGAGGGGAATGTGTGGGTGAGGGGAGTGTGTGGGGGTGTTGTTGGGTGCAAGTGTTAGCAACTGCTCCCTGGAGGACACATGCATCACTCATGACACACACCTGCAGTGTAGCCACACCCATCCACTCTCACAACAATTTAATTTAATCCAGTACAATAAAATACGCCATTGTCTGCAACATTTCCTTAATAATAATATATATATATATATATATATATATATATATATATATATATATATATATATATATATATATATATATATATATATAATGTATATATTGTCAAGTACAAAGCATCTTTTCTGATATTAATGTTTTTCTTCAGGAAGTTGGTTCTCGGTATTTGCTACCGAGGTCCTGGATTTAAATTCGAATGTCGTTTTGCAGAGTCGAAATTTCATTCTCGGTTGTAGATGTGTTTATCTTGACTTATGAGTCTGTGTAATATTGTCAAGATGAGGTGTTGCTACATCTTGGAACACCTCCGTCGAAGTCTGCAACAACGTTGTGCAACTGTTCAATATATCGAACACTAATGAAGGAGACACAGGTGCAGTACCTGGGTATCTTTAATGACGAGACGCTTCGCCGGCGGTAGCCGGCTTTCCCAACCTAATTCAGAAGTGACTTTTACATTGAAGATAGTGGAAGACGTGGAAAGATAATTTGAAGGTAATAATGTTGGTAAAAATAACGACAATATGTTAGGTAAAGGGACTCAAGTGCAGTTAATGTGACATTTTATTGTGGCAACGTTTCGAAACGTTGCCACGATAAAATGTCACATTAGTTGCACTTGTGTCCTTGTACCTATCATAATTTCAAGGTGTTCATCGCCCCAGTCTTGATACAGAAGGTTATAACCAGCAGCCGCACCTTACCTTCAAATGTCTGTAACCAGTAAACAAATAACCCGCACATAGGAGAGAGGAGCTTACGACGACGTTTCGGTCCGACTTGGACCATTTACAAAGTCATAAGCTTCTTTCTCCTATGTATGCGTTATTTGTACATTGTTCCAGTCACGGTATTGTGCCTTTTTGTTCTTTGCAACCAATCATTAATTGCTCACCCACTGATCGACTATAATTGCGTCTTGGTTATCAACTTGTCGGTATTGTGCGCCATCAGTGCCATACTTGTCTGACACAACAACACCATAGTGCCTTGGGGCTGGGGACGTCTTCTACAACTAGCTTACTAAACAACTATTTAGGATGATCTACTTCCACTAGATGATCCACTTTCACTAGTGGGCCCTGCTCACCTGTGACCTCAACTCCCACTGCTTCACCTCACTTCGTCCAGAATATAAAAGGTCTGGCTACATTCCTGTGCTTCAACATCGAGAGACTAACAACTAACAAGGCTTATTATCGAATCACCTGAAAGCTATTAATTCTATTGTTTCCAGTATTAAATTCGCCTAAATAATCGTGTTTGCACGAAATATCTCAACAATACAGATACCCAAGTAATTCATGTGTCTTATTCATCAATTTATTTGTTTTGTATACATTTATATGATACTCCCTGGGAAGTGAATATTAAGTTTGCATTAAGTAACTCGTAAAGTGTCTCGCGCATCTGAAACACTAGGGCAAAATTAAAAACAAAAGGAAATAATGATTTTTATCCAAAAGGTTAGGTAAGGTTCGTCAGGAAACAGCTTCTGGTCATCTGACCGAGGCCTTCCGCTGGTTTACCGGTCCACCCCTTTAAAAATTATGGCCAGTTATAACCATTTCTTTTATCCATAAAATAAATTCGATGTGTTGACCAGTATTACTGATGCATGACTGCGGACGAGACATCCAGTCAATAACTACACTGTGAGTGCAGACCAGGATAGTCGCATACTTCACGTTTAGAAATGTGTTGACAAAAGCAAGCTGGAGTTGGTGGCTTAGACTAGAGAGG